GTTTGTTCTGGGAGTATATTAATCTGTAAGTGAATTTATGGCTTGTTTCGTGACTAACTTCTGGATTGTATCTGCGTTGAAACCATTATCATGGCCTATCTGGCCATTGTGGGTGCAACCTGTTGAATGATCAAATCTATTTAGTTCACTCACCGGTTTTCAAATTAGCATATTCACATTATCACTAGTAAACAAAATTCAGATACTCAATCAAGCTAAATACCTCTATTACCTAGGTTGCATTTTATGTTTCGGGATTTGGCAACCCTGTTGTTGCAATCTGGCAACTGACAGCTCTATCGTAAAGTTTGACATTTTTGAGGTTATACGTACTCAGAACTTTTTGACATACGCGCGCTATTTGTGTTGTTTACAGTAACTTAAAGATTCATCTCGGCTCAAAAATGGAATTGAATCGTGAACATTTTCGTGCGATTATTTTTACAACTTTGAATTAACTCCGCAACAGTACATGGATGAACTTGATTCAATTTTTGGCGATGAAGCTCCATCAAGGGCCAGTGTTTATTGATGATATAGTGAATTCAATCGTGTTCGTAGTTCACTCCAAGACGAATATCGTGAATGTCGTCCAAAATCAGTTGTTGTTCCGAAAACCATTGATGCTGTGCGCGAAGTGATATTACAAGATCGTCATGTGACCTAAGTAGATGAACAACACCGATACGAGCACAAACAGGAGTGGGGGAAACGTGTGACGTCATCGACGCAGAGTTTTTTGAGAATTCCTGTGGGATAAGAGAAGAACTACACTGTGACCATTTTCATCAGTGCCCTATTCCATTGGGTCCAATGACTAATGGACCATGAGACACTTGAAACGCAGGTATAAATGAAGATAGCTTTGTGAGTATGGTTAGTTTGATCTTGCTCTTGAAGATGATCACTTGGTGATCGAAACACGTGTCGGGGTGTTAAAATAACGGTTTGGTGTTGGAAAAAAACTCTATTAATATTCAACTCAATTCATAATGATAACTCCTTTTCTTCACGAGCCTGTTGAGGCCTCAATTATCTGGATCTCAAGTTGGAATTCGTGTTCAACAGGCATGAATATAAAAATATAAGCGATATAGATTCAAAATGACGTGTGGAAAAATGGGTTTTGATGGTTTCACAGCACCTTGGGTACTTGTGCAGGTAGCCATACTATTGATATTCTGTGTTTTCGAATTTATATTGCCTCTCCATACAGATTTGGGTGTAAAGAAAGGTTTTTGGGTTATTCAATGAGTTTTAAGTCATAGGTACAAGTTACAAAAATGATTGTAGAATAGATGTAACAATCTAACTTGTGAAGATACCACTTCTACGAAAGTGAGCAATGGTTCAGTTTTGGTTTCATTATTATTATGATGTTCAACTTACAGAAATATCTGGGTTCATACTTGCTGTTGGGTCATTCATGGCTACGATTCCTATTGACATTGAGGATTGTATACATGCCATGAGGAAAAACAGGCATCCATGCATGAGAACCTGCTCGTGTCTTTTTCCAAATATCGGGCCTGCAAAGAAGTGTTACATCTTTTATAATTCACTACTGATATCATCAACATGGAAACTGAATGGATTATATATAGTATTCATGTGCTACACTACAAGTGGGATATTATGGGATTCAAAAGGTATCTGAAAGATTCGATGCAATCCTAATAGTAGAAAGTATAGAACGCAAAGAAGAAGAAGAAGGCCTATTTGAAGGTGATTGACAATGTTTCATAATGAATTTCACTAGTTCGGACTTCCATTGTCTACTATATAAAATGATTTGAAACCCTGAAACAACTAAAAAAGAAGAATTAAAAATGACAGTATCTGAACCACGAATCCAACCACAATCAATCGGCTGAAAGAGGAATCATCAAGACTCTATTAGACCGTGCTTCTGGGCTCTGTGATACGAAGGAAGGTCTCGAGAAGGAACTAGACATCATCAAAAATATTGACAATTGGACGAAGTGGAAAATTTAGATTGTGAATCTTAAAAGGACTGTAGAGTCTACGAAGTAAGACTTCAGACTTCCAAAGTTGACACTTCTCTTCAGTTGAAGAGTATACGATAATTTAATTGGTTTTCAAATTGTGACCTTCCACACTATTATTTCAATATTGAATTTGGAAAAAAATTGAACCAATCCATTGGTGTGCTTGGTTCATATGGAAAAACTGAATTTTGAGCCTTCGTCTTTCTGAAGGATACCCGTAACTTTCAGCTAATTCTAAAAAAATGTAGTCTCGCCATTTATTGTTGTGGGGCAATGATGTGAGCTGTCAGGGATATAATCATCCGATATACTCCAAATCCTCAACCCTTATTGGTGTTCCTCAAAACTACAACATCCAAGAATGGTAGTAGATCAGCAACACCGATTCTATTACACCAGCCAATGAGAGCGTAGCAATTTGTCACATGACCGGTTTGTTCGGTTGGTTACGCTATCGGTGCGGTTATGTTGGGCCTAACCAAAACTAACCTAACCTAACCGAACCGAACTTAACCTAACCTAAGCTAACCAAACCACCTAACCCAACCCAACCGCATCAATAGCGTAACCAACCGAACAAACTGGTCATGTGACAAATTGCTACGCTCTTATTGGCTGGTGTAATAGAATCCGTGTTGCTGATCTACTAATGGTAACTCTTCGTTATGTTCAAACTTGGGAATATGTTGTATCCGATCCAAATTCGTGGAGAGTTTTCCAAATTTTCTTTTGTTTACGTTCCAAATCTGCCATGAAAGGAGGCAACTAGTCATCCATTGCCGTACCTTGATGATGTTTGTTAAAACAGTCATCGAACTGAAAGCAATTCTGCCCCACGCAAAGTTGGAAGCAAATAATACCAAAATCCCATCTCGCAAGGGTATTGATTGATTTGAATGAAATTGATGATTCTGTTGAGGACACCCTTGTAGAGAATAGAACTCCAGACCTGTTACTTTTCAAAGTTGCTACGCTGGAGTTGAGTTATAAATTCATCTAACTATTCAGTACGTGACAAGTGATGAATCGTGGATTTACGCGTATGAGCCCGAAAGTAAAGAGCAATCGACTGTATGGGTGTTTCAAGATGAGCCAAATCCAACAAAAGTTGTTCGCGCACGCAATAAAGTGATTTTCGATGATAAATATTTGTTTTTGTTCGCTTATCACGAAATATAAAAGACAACCCTCGTATATTACCCACAGTGATGTTATATAAGGGCTAATGTAATCCATACATCCATTTATCCATCAACTACATCAATTTATTTATTGTAATTGTTTGAAAATGTCCTCACTTCTGTTTGAGCTACATACAACTTCTTTTCAGTTGAGCAAAACTTCACATGCTCTTTAGTAAAAAAAGCATTATAGGCACTTTCCCCTGGGGTTTCAGGGTTTTCCTATGCGAACCGCTATATTTTCGGAGGCTAAAATGTTGAACGTGAGTTCGTTTTATGTTGTAGAAGTGCAATGAGAAAGGTTTTTCAAATATTCCAACTGGGGCGTCAGCCCTCAAATTTCTGGTAGCTGAATTTATATTTAGTATCAGCATTGCACACGTGCGGAGCCGGGGCGACTAGCTAGTGGTGTCATACTTCAAGGAGTAATACGGAGAATCACCGAATCACATCATTTTTTGCCCCTGTAATGCACATTTCTATCAATATATTTGCCGATTTTTCGGGATGATTGCGTAATTTTTCCAAAAGCATGAACTCTACATAAAATATTCAAAATATATATCTAACTTTCGGTGCCTATGCAATACATAAGATACTTGTAAAACTGATTCATCAAATATATTTCGAAGCATTTATTTACAAATATGCAAGCACAACAGTTACTGCTCTAAATCAAATTCCAATTTCGAAATCACTATGTATCCTCTTCTTTTTTTGGACTCTTATTTCTTACTCGTTCATCATTCCAAGGTTGCACTTCCCCGGATCCAAGGAAACAGAATATGACCGTTGACACAATGAATATTCCAGAAGTGAGGTAAAAAACAATTCCCCATTGATTTGGGTCATCCTGAAAATGGAACAAAATCATTAATCATCAGAATATCGAAAAATTTAAATGCTCATTTCTGAACAAGATAAACTATTCATGAAGGAAAGAAACAAAGCTCTGGAGTACACCAATAATAATGGTGTTGGGATGAAACTGGTAAAAATCATTACCACACCAAAGGTTCCATCCAAACAGTGCATTACAAGAATTGAGTTGAGTTCTTGATGTTAGTCTCCTTTTTCCAACGTTTAGCTATAGTGAGTGTGTTAAGTATTTAGCAAATGGATAAGTGCCAAGCTGATTATGTTGACAATTGGACGAAGTGGAAAATTTAGATTGTGAATCTTAAAAGGACTGTAGAGTCTACGAAGTAAGACTTCAGACTTCCAAAGTTGACACTTCTCTTCAGTTGAAGAGTATACGATAATTTAATTGGTTTTCAAATTGTGACCTTCCACACTATTATTTCAATATTGAATTTGGAAAAAAATTGAACCAATCCATTGGTGTGCTTGGTTCATATGGAAAAACTGAATTTTGAGCCTTCGTCTTTCTGAAGGATACCCGTAACTTTCAGCTAATTNTCTAATACCATTCTCATGTAAGTTGTAATGGTATTTTACAAAATTAAAATATTTTGGAAATGTTTTTTTCTACAAGGCAAAAACTTTCTTTCAAATAGGCGGCCCAACATAAACAAAAATACCAACGGTTGTTGGTAAATGAAAGGGGAAGAATTTATGTATATTATATTAATATTCTCTTTCGATGTATCTAATGGCCCCCTTACACGACAAATAAGGGGTAGCTTATGAAACGAGCAAATCTCTTTGCGAGTTAGTGACTTCATTATTCTACTTGCCCGAATCTTATTTATTCGTTCTACGACTCATTCCACAAATATCGTGTTCAGCGCAACTTATGAATGCAACGAGCTTTTTACGACCTTAGTCGTTGTTACTTCGACAAACTTACCTATGGTATGCATTACTTTTCTTGTAGTGCCTATGCTACATATGCTTTTCGATATGAGCATGTCGGATATAACACTGAACAGGAACGACATGATCCATTTGACAATATGAGGGAGTGTACTCAGTGCTCCATTCTGTAAATAAAAATAAGTAAAATATGATATTTTGGCTTTATTTCACAAGTTCGGCTTGTATGATCATTGAATTTGTTGAAATTTTGATACCGTGGAACTTGAATTTGTACTATTTTTTGGATAGTTTGAAAATGTGTTGTAGCTATACTTTCTGGAAAACCACGAGGTCTGTTGAAAAAATAAAGTGAGTTTTGATTTTTTTCGAAAAATATTTATTTATTGGTTATACTAATATTATTAATGTGGAAGTTTGTTAGGATTGATAAATGTATGTATACATGTTTGTGGCTCTTTCACTCCTAAACGACTGAACGGATTTAGAAGAAACTTTACATAAATACAGCTTATACATCAGACAAACGTATAGGATACAATTTACAGACATTTCGTCTAATTTTTGTCACAATATAACGGTAGGTGAGACGGAGACATTATTGGTCCCTGAAAGCTGTTTTGGCCGATGCAGTTACATGGAGATAATGTACCGTAATGTACTTGTAAACATTTTTCTGACTCAAAGTACAATCATCGTATGCGACTGTCAATAATTCACGCGTTTTTTTGTATACTTAATAAATTCTTTGATTTATGTTTTTCGACAGCTAACGACTATTAATCATTGAATGTATTTCCTGACAATTTTCGTATTACTTACCGATTTGATGTCGAGTTTCATAACATTTTTGAAGTAACTGGGAATGTCTGCCATTAGTATATGTAAACCCCAGTTGTAACCACAATGTGCCAGTAGAAGGGCCAGAAAACTACCGGAAGTGAATATTTTCAACCATGGTGTCGATAATCTAGGGCAATTTATTATATAGGTTAAAATCTAATGAATTTTTCTCAGATTTGGACAACCTGTAACGTGGCAATACTAAATCATCAGCCGTAGCAGCCCTGGTAGTGTAATGATGCAGGCCAGAAACTTTTTGTATATTCTGCCTTTCAGAATGGTTTCTAGTAAATTTTGGTATATATACACAGAAGGGAGTGGTAGAATCCTCGTTGTTTTGAACAGTGGTTGACAGTGGTCTCTATACCTAGCCCCAGCTAATAGTCTTATTGCGCGTTTTTGTAACCTAAATATTTTTGAGGAATCAACAGCATTACCCCACAGAATCGCACCATAGCTGATCACATAATGAAATGATCCAAAATAAACATTTTTTTCAAAATAAACATTTCTTAACATGTTTATAATGTACCGTAAGATTGTTTATCTTGAATAGTAAAGAATAAAGTGGTAGCCACTTTATGCGAAATAGTGAGACATAAAAAACCATTAAATTGGATACTTTTTCACAATGCACATTTCGGAATATCTGTCAAATTCTTATAAAAATTGATACACTTGTTTCGAGTATTCAATATATATAAACTTTGTCTTTTACACTGAGTAATTTGGACTGATATTTTAAAAGTTATCACGATGAGATTAACTTGACGCAATACACGAAGCCATTACGCGTCGCGTCTACTGTAAGACGACGGTGGGGAAGAGGTAGAAGGGCAGTCCCGCTTTGTTTGGAATGGTCTGTCAGGAAATTTAATGTGAAAACCATCGTGTGGGAGTGTCCTGGGCGAGTTTCGACCTTCTGTGAAAAGCTTGTACACATTTTTCTGACTCAAAGTACAATCATCGTATGCGACTGTCAATATTTCAAGCGTTTTTTGTACACTCAATTGACTTTTTCACACAAAATTTGATTCGAATTCTTTGATTTATGTTTTTCGACAGATAACGAATATCAATCACTGAATGTATTTATCCACAATTTTCGTATTACTTACCGATTTGATGTCGAGTTTCATAACATTTTTGAAGTAACTGGGAATGTCTGCCATCAGTATATGTAAACCCCAGTTGTAACCACAATGTGCCAGTAGAAGGGCCAGAAAACTACCGGAAGTAAAGATTTTCAACCATGGTGTCGATAATCGCTGGAAGTAGATGAATAATTCTCAGATTTTTTAATTTAGTGACATTCCATTCGGGAATTGCTTTTTCATTCGCCTTTTTAAAAAATACAGTTCCAGAATGGTATTTCTACTTGTGGATTCACGAAGAAAGTGATACTTTATCCAAAATGTAGTTGCCATTTTAATGAAGTCAAGTAGTAATACTACATACCAAAACAAGGAAGGACTTTTAGCTGCTCTCTTGAACATTGAGGGTGCATTTGACAATACCTTGTTAGAATCAACCATCCTGGCGTCGAGGAGAAGAGGGATCGACATGACAAGCTGTAGGTGGATAGACTGCACGCTTAGGGGAAGATTGGTATATACAACCATTATGGGGGAAACAGTCGTGGCACGGGTAACAAGGAGGGTCTCGGACCTCTAAAACTTCGAGGTGAAGAAATACAAGTGTCGAGGGAGGTTAAATATCTGGGAGTAATCCTAGATTCCAAACTGACCTGGAACCAACACTTGGACAGGATAAAGAGGAAAGCGGAGGGAGCACTGATGCTCGCCAGACGCACCTATGGAGAAACATGGGGGCTAAATCCAGACATGGTATTCTGGCTATACACATTGGTGGTTAAACCCATGATAACATACGCATGTCTGATCTGGTGGCCAAAGATGAAGCAGGCGACCGCTATCAACAAACTAGGCAAGGTGCAACAACTTGCATGTTTGGGAATGACCGGAGCAATGAGAACTACCCCAACAGCTGCATTGGAGATACTCTTGAATCTACCTCCTTTACACTTTGTGATAAGGGGGAGGCCAGGATGGACCAGTTCAGACTGGAAAACTCACCGAACTACAAAAAATCGGACCGAACAGAAATTTCTGTGTGGTGGAACACATATTGAATTTGTGCATGGACCACATGACACCGAAGTACATCTTTAACACAAACTTCATGGCCAAAATCATAAGCAGTGAAGAGTGGAAAACCATTAGTCATCCCGAAAACATGTTTGGAAAAGACACCTGGTATACAGATGGATCGAAGAGCAAACATGGAACGGGAGCTGCAATATACTGAACGAATAGAAATTTAAACTACAGTTATCCGCTAGGACTATACACATCCGTCTTTCAGGCGAAAGTGTATGCTATCTTGCAGTGTGCAAGGCCGAAATTACAAGCAAACGACCACATTTGATAAAGAAAAAAATGTTGTTTCATCAAGACAACGCACCGTGTCACAAGTCAATCAAAACAATGACAAAACTTAATGAATTCAACTTCGATTTACTTCCATATCCACCGTATTCGCAGGATTTGGCTCCCAGCGACTACTGGCTGTTCGCAGACCTCAAAAAAAGCTCACCGGTAAGAAATTTTGCTCGAATGGAGAGGTTATTTCTGAAAATGAAGCCGGGATTTTTCAGACCAGGTGTTAATTGGAAAATTTACGAAATTCTGTTTCCTGTTGTCATTAAAAACGTATACTTCATCCCAAACAACTATTGTATTTATTCTAAATCACTTAAAACGTTTTGATCCTCCCTGCAGCCATGGTGATAGGATAAATCCATAATATCCCTTACCTGTTGTGTGAGGCAACTAAATGATCAGACTTGATGTGTGTGGATGTTATGCGACCCATGCGGAAGAATAGATGTAGTAAATCCATGCAAGGTACATCAAAGTTGATGTTTATTTAGACGAACTTTCGGATCCCTAGGAGAAAAATCATTGATTTCAGAGATGTCCGTGTATAATAATCAGAAAAAGTTGAAATACACTGTACTAGAGCAACTGTTGTACCAGAGACCAAATTAAAGACCCTGTAAGGAAGGATTTGAGTAAGTCGTTATGAGATCAGCGTACCTCCCTTACGATAGTTCGGAACCACTACCAACCAACTAGAGATGTTGAAGAGCTAGTGAAGGTTTGCCTAGCAAACATATTACAGCTCATAATCAAGTATAGTTTTACTCCGGCAAACAACTTTAAATTTGATATATACATAGACAATAAACCTACCTTCGGGAACACACGGAAGCTTTCAGACAAGAAATCTGGGTTCGAAAGAGAAAAATTATGGGACTGGGAGAGATCCAGGAGAGTTCATTTACAACAGAACCTGAGAGACATCAGAAATATGTAGAATTATTCGAAATATATTGCTCTTAAATAATCCTTGTATTTGGGACTTGAGGGTTATTAGATGAAAGAGGACCTAAAATAGTTGTTAACTGGAAGCATACCTTTCTTACGGAACCTCCACCAACCAGCGATGTTGGAGGCAAGTGAGGGCCTGCGTAGCAGACATATAACAGCTCATAATCAAATACAGTTTATGGCAAACAACTGGTACATCTTGTACATTGCCCTCGTAAACACAAGGAGGCGTGGGTAAATGATGTATGTAACATTGAATTCATACGAAAACTTTGGGTTCACAAGATAAAAATCATATGATTGGGGGAGATCCGGGAAAGTTGATTTATTACAGAACCTTAGATACCTCAGAAATATATAGAATTATTTTTTGGACAACCATTGCATTACATACTCGAGAGTTATTGGATAGAAGAGGACCTGGGGATTATGTATACCTCCTTTACGATAGTCAGGAACCACCATCAATTAGGTATGTTTCAAGTGAGGGCTAGCAGACAGATAAGAGCTTATATTCGAATACAGTCTCCAAGAATGCAAGGAAATCAGATGTATGAGACAATAAATAAAGTTTCCAACTGACCATAACAAAGCTCTGAGGAAATACGTTAGTCTCATTACCTAACTATGTGCTAGTCTACATGGATCGTAAACTCATTTCAACCATATGAGGCTCCTGCATCCATTTATCCATTACCAGACTGTTTCGTGCTTTACCTCATAATATCTCTCTAGTATCTTCGGTATAGGATCGTATGTATATATTTCACCTCTATATAAGGTGTGAAAGAAATACTGGGTACCAAATTCTATAAATACTTGCAATCAAGCTATTGGTTGAATTAATCTAACATATTTCAAAATCAAACTCACCTTAGCTTTGTCCTCAAGAGGTAAACTGTTCTCTATGTAAAACTGTTCAGCATGTGTGATAGAGGAATGTTCGGCAGGAGTATTGCTGCCCATATAGGTGAAGATGATGCTCCATAAAAATCCTAAACCACCATTCAAATAAAATATCATTGGCCATCCATACCAGCTAGCTGCTAAGTAGCCACTTGTGAACGTGATCACTACCGCTCCTATTGTTGCACCTAAGAAGAATGCATTCATTTATGCCTGTATATAATCTGTTTATCATGCCAACAAACCAACAAACTGTTGCTTTCAAGAACATGCTTCACGGAAAACAGAATACTCACCACCAGCAGCTAGCGTTCCCAATCCACTTCTTTCATGTGGAGGAACCCATTTTCCTAGCAAGCCGTGCAAGGAAGCAGGAATAATACCCTGAGCGAACCCTTGCAGCACCCTACAGACCATTACTCCCTCGGATCCAAAAGAATAAGCAGCTGTTGGTAGCAAAAGATCCAATATGGCACAAACAATTGATGATCCGACCAAAAACCATTTGGGACCATAGCGGTTGGCAAGCCAGCCAGACCCCAACTCCGGTAATATAGATCCCCAGAAGAAACAGGAAAGTATTGCTCCTTTGTTTTTCCATTCAAATGTCTGGAAAATAACAAATTTTGGAATTATACTTCTTTTGGCGCGTTAGGGAAAAATGATGAATAAATGACGACCAATTTGACAGACACCCGACTAACTCCATAGTAGGGAGGACTGGATCCTCCGGGAGAAGGAAATATTAAGAGCAGATAGTTGTTGGTTCACAGAGGAAATATCAAGAGCAAATAGTTGTTGGTTCACAGATGTATCAAAAACACCTTCCGGTTCTGGTGCAGGACAGAGATATCTATCTGCCTAGGAACCTATACGACTGTAATTCAAGCGGAAATTTGCGCTGTTGGATTGTGTGCGGGACATTTTGTGCACCTAACCTATCTTCCTCTTTATAAATAAATAACAAAACAACTGTTGTTTATGTGGCTTGTGAAGAAACCCAACATTTGAAACATCAACTTGAACACTTTTCGAAGTGAATTTGAAAAACTCATGAATTAAACTCAACTTTATTTTGTTCAAACTTGCATTTGCTGTAATAACTCAAATCAAGGAACATTCTCCATTGTTGCTTCATGAACTGTATAGTATGCGCACCTGAAGATTAATACAGAATTCAGTGGATTCATAGTCCAAAATGTTTGGAAATTTCTTTCCTTTACATGCTTATAAATAAAATATGCAACACATGGATTCATTTTCCAATAGGATATATTCGTTTCTAAAGGAAGCACTTAAAGTGCTCTCTAGTAGAGCAATAAGTATCAATGTAGAAGACATCACAGTGAAAGGAATGGTCACCCCTTCTTTGGAACATAGTTCTGGATACCCAGATTAATCACCTCAACAATAATGAATTCTACACATTTGCAAATGCAGATTACGTAGTAATCATGCAGACCGACAAATTTGTGAACACACTGTGCGATAGGGCGCAGGATGGACTCGAATTAATAGAAACATGGTGTAAGGAACACTCACTGTTTTCCCAGGAAAAGCAGTTCATCGGGCCTAAAATCTCCCAAAATCTTCAAAAGCAAACTAAACTTCTCTGAAGAGGTGAAATACCTTGGTACTATCCTCAATAGGAAGCTAACATGGAACTCTCACTTACATAGTAGAGAATATGTGGCTTATAAGCAATGTCGGAGGACAGTGGGACGCGCATGGGGTCTTTCACCCCGTGTAGTCGCCTGGATCTACACTGCAATAATAAAACCTATGTAAACGTACGGAGCCATTGCATGGGGACCGAAAGTTCTACAAGCAACGGCCATCCAAAAATTATATCAAATACAGCGATTGGCTTGTTCAAACATCACAGGAGCCATGGAACAACACCAACCGCGGCAATGGAATTAATTACTGGCCTGACCCCTCTGGACCTGTACGTTAAGGAGGTTGCGTAATGACCATGTTACGATTGCGCACGGCTGGTGTGAACCTCGAAGTAGGAATGGGTCAGTGATGTAACTGAACCCAGGTGTGTGTTTGATAAACCCTACAGAATACAAATGAAACAGAACACAGAGTCAGATGCTGCAAATCCAATACGCATATATACAGACGGCTCAAAAACCAAAGAAGGCTCGGGATGTGGAGTGTACTCCAGATCACTGAGCCTAAGGATCAAGTGGGGAATGGGAAAAAATACCAGCGTGGTTCAAACAGAACTGGCTAGTATATCAATCGTCACAAAAGGAATTACCAAGAAAGGAATTTCTGGCAAGACATAACGATCCGCACTGATAGCAGACAAGCCCTATTAGTCTCGAACAAACAACATGTTACCTCAGGACTAGTATTAGACTGCCACCAAGATTCAGCCAAAGCCTCGGTAAATAATAACATTATCCTGAGGTGGATCAAAGGGCACGACAGGGGTAAAGGTAATCGCATTATCGACTTTTTAACCAAGGAAGCGGCTGGACTAAGAATTTTAGGACCCAGTGGCACCTACAGCCTGATGACTTCGACAATTGCGGAACTAGCCTAACTTCACACCCATGCTCAACCCCTAAAGAGATGGGATGGAATCAAAGGATGCAGTCTTGCTAGGATCACCCTGGGCGTCCCTGGGAAGATGGCGCTGAAGAAATATCTCGCGATGACCAGGAAAAACCCACGCTTAACAGTAATGGACACACCACTATGCAGGATGTGTGAACAGGAAGATGAAACTGTCAGGCATGTCCTATGCGAACGTCCCGAGTTATCATCAATAAGAGAGTGTGTGTGTTCAGCGAGTCTCTTAGGGACCTGCCCACCTTCCTGGGAAGGACAAGATGGACGATGACCTAGGAGGACAACTCCTCGGGAGGATGTACAACAGATCACATGTGGCCAGAGTGCTGTGGGCCTTCACTCACCATCCCTACTCTACAGATACAGATAGTCCAAAATGTTTGGAAATTTCTTTCCTTTACATGCTTGTAAATGAAATATACAACACATGGATTCATTTTTCATCGGAATACATTCGTTTGTATAAGAAGCACATGACCTATTCCTACGGATTCTCTTCGAAGCTGACACGCTACAAAAAACGCTTGAACCCAATTGCCATTTTCATTTCATTTGAAAATGTCGCGATTTTTGTTCAACGCGACAAAATAATTAAAAAATACATGCCTAAGAAAAACTCACTCGTTACGTTTCCCTAGATAGAATCTAATTCAAGAATGTGTAAAAACGTGGTTCTCAAGCAGATGTTTATGATTGCGACATATTTCGCAAGACAAACTGTAAAGTTGATGAGTCACAATGAACATAATGAAGATGAAGAACTCACATCTACTTAACAACCTGGTTTTCGTTATAATATAATCACTTTACAATATAATCGCTATAAAGCGTCCCATTAATATCCACATTAATGATACGCTTTATAAAATCTATCTTTACTAATATAAATATGGAAGTTCTTGAGGATGTATGTATGTATTGTATAGTGGTTAAGGCGTATTAGTAGTCACTGCTGTTTGTGACAGTTGGCTTTAAGAGACAGAAAAGTGACCTCAGAGCGGATTCTGGCTATACAATTGTACGAATTGCTATACAATTCAATATTTTTTCGTACATGCATACCACATTGACTAAAAGCATACATTATGATTTTAGTTGGTTTTGAATTGATTCGAACGAGGCCACGATATATATTCACAAATTTCAATCACTTCGTCCTTCGATAGTGAGTAATCTGTCTATTTCTGTCTTTCGTCTCATTATGATAGTCATATCCGTCTGTCATAGAACTCATAGAAGTCATAGATCACGATCACGTCGATCACAGAGTACAAAACATTTTTTTTCAGATCAGTCGAATGTCAAATCTGTCGAAAACCGCTGACGCTAAAAGAAAAATAAATTCACAGTGAGAAAAGAATTTTAAAAAAATATTTATGAATGGTAGTTGGTAGTTCACCTCACCCCTCTTGATTTTTGTTTTAGGAGACTTTGTGTTGTCATTTAACTTGATACATAGGCCGTGACCCGAATTGTGCTCACAGCATTTACGACGTTTACATTGCTGACGTCGGGTCCGATTTACGTGAACGCGCCAACGTCTGTTTGCAGTGTTAATAATTCGGACCACTTGTGAGTGTGCTTACGAATTCCACAAGTTAAACATAACCTAACAATGCATTTTTTGAGATAAACATGAGTGGAGTATGTGGTGTAGCTCATGAAGATCGGAAAATGCTTGTATTTCTAGCATTTTCTGCAATCGGGGAAAGTGACGAGAGTGATATTGATGTGGAAGATATATTAGATATTTCGTCATCATCGAGTAGCTCAGAAGATGAACTGGTTAACACAATTCTCGTGTTAAACAAGAAGCGAGGAAAATTGGAGCTTAGGCCTCGTATTCAACGTTACGTCGAAGAAACGATTCCCAGATTTTCTATCTCGCCAGTTACTTCAACTGACACGGAAAAACTCACAGACATTTTAATAAATTTTATTTCGGACGCTTGAATCCACAGAAATAAAACACTCGATTGTTCGAATAAATGGCGCAAAATAACGTCAATGTTCAGAGTGCTAACGATCTGATCCGTGAGTACTGTGATCACTACGGTGTGACGTCACATGTGACGTCATAGCGTTCACAGCGCTAACGGTGAGCGAGAAAACCACGAATCGGACCGGGCGTTGGTACGCTATGAGCGCTGTGAGCGTGATTCGAACCACGGCCATAATGTAAGCTAAAGCTAGATTAGTGAATGCAGAATTCTCAATTGATATTAATGCAAATAGTAATCAAATCCATATATTTGCAATAACCACTTCAAAATATTTACATTTCACATACGATGGAGTGTCTGCGCATGCGCTTATCGTTTTATTCCATCTTTGCATCATGCGGCAAGCTGTCACTTGTCAATTATTCTGATGACAGTGTTGGCGACCATTGATGCTATACAATTACAGCGAAAAGCATACATTTTCATTTGTCGATTTCGTACAATTTTTTTTTGCCGTGGAGCAGCACTGAGTGACCTTCATTATCGGCACCAGCATGGCGACGAATTAGTTTTTGTTGTAGCTGTATTCGTTTTAATAAATTAGATATACAATAAATAAGGAATCTGTTTGAGTTTGAATAATACGTTATTCTGTTCAGTATAATATTACATGTATGTATGTTTCTGTCTCTTTCACGCCTAATGGAATCAAAGTTGTGTAATTTTGCTGTATGTTCAACTTACAGTAATATCTGGGTTGATACTTGCTGTTGGATCATTCATGGCGACGATACCAATTGACATGGACGATCGTATACATGCCGTAAGAAATAACAGAGATCCATGCATGAGAACCTGCTGATGCCTTTTTCCAAATATTGGACCTGAAATGAGATGAAGACATTAGTTGCTGGTGTATCTGGAACATAATCAATAATTGATATTGTTATTGGCACTCTGGTGAGTTCTCGTGTTCACGTGCTTTACATGCCTCAGAACATAAATTGTACTTGGAAATTCATTAGAACGCGTACCTACTTGAATTGTACTTCCTTTTCTTTTCGAATAATATTTGTTTCGCTAGGAGCTGATAACTCCACAACAAATATCGTGTTTCTCTGATGATCGAGAGAAACTACATCAGGCTTATTAGCTTGTATGAGCTAATGAATGTGGTACCATCCCCACATACCGTAAAATTGCTGTAGGTGGTAATAAAGTACTCTAAGTACCGCGATATGTCGATGAATATAGGCCGAGACGACCGCATATGCTGAGCAAGCTGTCAGCAAGGAAATTAGGTTATCAAGCACCTTGTGGCAGAAACTTTTATACCCATCACGCGACTACGGTAGATTAAGGTATTGAAGACATCATCTTGGCTGGCCATGATCAACCCCTCAGTTTCCGACTTCAACTCACTCAACCTGAGGAAAGCGAGGTCAGGTGCTTTGATGCTTGATGGTGCAGTGACTTATGCCGCAGAAGTGAAAGTGATCTCTGTGGCTTTTATATGGGCTTTTTCCCAGACAGGTTCCAACTCGATGACGGAGTTGTGATCACCTCGTTCAGTGTCGAACACTAAGCCAAGTTCATCAGCCACTTGGGACCTGCCCCAAAGAGAAATGCTCCAATTCCTGCTCTCTCATGGTTCCTGACCATGCACCATTCAGTACCATTCTGTCATGTAGACACTCCAAACTCAAAAGTCTACGGCCTCCTAGTTGTCAGGGGAAACTTCCATGAAGATGCATCATTTTTCTGGTCTTCATTTCGAATTGGTACAGCTTCTCCCAGGTCCATTTCACTGCTCCAAACGAGTATAGTAAGATTGAAACTGCATATTCACAGCAGCGACTTTGTTCTTCACCGACAGTTCCGGTGTTTGTGCTAATACCTGCTCCGGAAAGAGTTTTTACTGCTGTAATCTCTTGCAGTGGCATTGTTTCACCAGTAGATAGTTTTCACCTACACTGAAAGTACTCGTATAATGTTGAATTGAGTTTTTGTGTTCCAATTCATGTTTGAAAACATGCTGATGATTTGATTTTGATTAAAATGATATCGATGAAGGAAATTGATTGGATAGATGTAGAGGTTGTAGTTGAATGAAAATAACTTCGAATGTTTGAGATGAACATTAATAACATACCATTGTTTTTAGCAACCTGTGAGTTTACTGCTTTATCAGAATTTTCTTCTATCACATAAACGGTTTCTGTGGGAACAGCTTCATATTGGCTCGACATATCACAATTAAGTAAATAGCTGGAAAAGAAAGGAAATTGCTGTATGAAATCCCTATATTGAGTATTTAGATACGCATAACGAAATATTATTTTCTTGTGCGAACAACGAATTGATTATGGAGTTATTGATTACTGATGTGATTACAAGACTGCGAAGCAGTGGCTTTTTCAATAAGTAGCGGTCTTAATCAGAACGCAAATGAGCCTACATATGAATGCCTAACCGTGATGTACTATTTGTTAGTCTTCTAGATCAGTACTCAAAAACCAATCCTGAACTTTGCACGATCACCAAAAAGTCATATTTGCTGTAGTCTTACCACAAATCTATTTCAGTTTTGAGTAAATCAGTGTTTAAGTACAACCATGGAGATCGTTCTAGATCTACCTCCCTGTTCGGACTAGTCAGTCCTGCTGTGATTTCCTTTGATTGAAAGTCAAAATGAACCAGGAATCAAACGTTTCAAGTCAATATCTTTATTTTTATAACTTTCAAATTATTTTCAATGTCAAAATCGTCTTTTTTTTATGAACAAACCATGATCAATTATTTCAACATACTAAGTTAACAAAACTGAACAAAATTGATTAAAAGCAACAAGATTCTCCCCCTTGTGATGACATCACTGCATTTGACATATTATTCTTCAATTCATTTCCGTCGAGAATCTGTATCACTGATCAATTTACAAATCTTTGTAACTGACCGTTTATAGGTTCCTGATTTTGTTTTTTGTGTTTTTTATGTTTCTTCGAGTGTTTCTTCTTCTTATGCTGCTTGTCTTTTTTCCATTTCTTTGTATCCCCTCCATCATCGGAATCTTCTTTTTTTAAAAACCTTCATCGCTATTCGAGGAGCTATTGTCCTTCTTATGTTTTTTTGATTTTTCTCTATCAGTTTCATCGGAACTATCTTGTTCTTCTTTTTCTCAGCAGGAACGTCACTGTCACTAGAATCCTTCTTTGACTTTTTTCCTTTTTCTGAACTGACTGACCCGCGTTTCTTCCTCACTCTCTTCTCTTCTTTAGAGTCGGAGCTCTGAGATTTTCATACGGTATCAAGAAAAGAGAACCGACTTCTCATACACAGGTGGCTGAAAATGTACGATAGGCGGACTCTTCATTCTTCGACATTATTTCATAAAGTTATTGTCAGTAGAACACCTCCCTACCTCAATAACAAAATAACTTATCGAACTGATGTTCATAATGTGAACATCAGGCACTTGACATTTCTTTCAACATATTTATTGAAGTTGTAGAAAGCGGAGATAGCGAAAACGGGAATTAATGGAGTTTTCTATCGAATCATCTGGTTTTCATAAGTTTTTTTGTCAGCGGCATCGACTACTCAGTTCATCAGCCTTGTGTTCTGGGTAACAATGTTAATAACTTCCCGAGTCACCTAGAAAGCCATGTAATGTTGCAGAATTTTCTCAACTTGAACAAGATGAATTCTTTATAGATTTTTATAATTGACAATGTAAATGTTAAAAAATATTTTTGTTTAGTTCGGTGCTTTCAAATATTTGTAACCAAAGATAACGATTATATTATTCATATTATTGATGCAAATGAGTCTTCTCCTAAATAGCTGACTCGTAAAAAGAATGTAGCTCAGACTTATCAATTTGAAATATTACCGTCTCATTTCACGAAACATTGCCCTTGAAGAATTCAAAGAAATTAAAAAAAACGCGAGGCAGCAAAAACGATGTGAATAAGATTTATTTCGACAACGATAAAAATAAAATAAATACAACAATAAAAATTAATTGGCGCTCCGGGGCGACTTCATTGATTCCAGTGGCGCATTTGCTTTTTCAGCTGCAGGAAAACCCGGAAAAACCTGCAGCACCACATCATCTGAAGATCTTGATCCAACAATGTCCTCTCTCTCATAAAACAAAATGTAGGGTGTCTCCAGAGGCTCCAATAAACGATGTTGTTATTCAATATTTAATTGGTGACTAGAGAAGTTCTCTGTTCAACACTACTTCATTACTGCTGTCTGAGTTGACGTAGAAATTACACACAAAAAATTTTAAAATATTTTTCATTCATATTTTTTCCCTTAAATTTCAAGTGCTCAATATTCAAAACGTTTGCTTCAGTCGAAAATTTACTGGTTTATCGGAACAACTTTTACTTCCATCTCCTACCTTTCCTTTAAAACATTTATCATTATGAAAATAACAGGAAGTGTTAAGTTAGGTTAGGTCCAAAGTGAGTGGGTCTATTCGACCCTCAACCGGAACCCGCAAGGGTTTATGGTGGCTCACACCTATTTACACTCGACCAAATAAACCCAGCTTCCTAACGAAGCCGAATACTTTGTAAGGTGAGTGGTCTTTCAAGACAGATGGTGAGAGTAACGGCTCTGCCTAACTCTGAAAACCTGCGGGGCAGCCACAAAGTATGTGCTCTGCTGTTTCATCATTTTCCAGACAGAAGCGACACACACTGTCTTCCGACAATCTTCTTACAGTCCAGGTGTTCAATCTTTGTTTGAAAAAGCCTTAAGCGATGCCAATGACAGGTTCTGGTCACACCAGAACCAGAACACCACTCTTTATAACAGGGAAGCCCAAGCGGGGATTTCGGGATTTACTAAAGCGCGGCAGATTAATATACGAGGGGGTACCTTGTACCCGGTTGAGTACCTCCATCAACTCAAAAAATGGATATTTGGGATAATGAATTTCATGTATGAATACTTTATTTTGCAGTAAGCGATTGGGTGTCATCTGGAAAAAGAATTAAATAGAAAGTGGAGGTCTTGTGACAGATCATTTTGAAGCTCCTGATAAATAATTCATAACCCTAGAATATAAAGTCAATGTCTTCACCTAGTGCATAATGGCGGAACATTAAATAATTTCCTGAAGCAAACAATTAATTTCGAATCGTACAACATTTACGAAATAAAAAACAGCTACAGTACTTAGTGTAACGCAGTGTTGCTTACGGCTGGACCAACTCACAGCTCCTCCTTCAATTTTCTTCCAATTTCAGTTCAATTTCCAGTTCAATATCTCCAAAACCTGTTGATAGGATCGTCTTTCTACTAGCTATTTCTAAAACTGTGTTTCGTTTTGTGAAATTTATGTATTTCTCAAAATTTGACGTCATATATCAGATCCACTGTCTGATATCCAAGTATCCCAATTTGTTTTATTATTCACTAAGTAAGAAAAATGATGTTAATTTTCTTTTTCTTCCCTTCGTATAGCACTGAATGTAAATTCAGTGGCTTTCTACTTCAACATCTTTATAAATAAAAATGGGGTAAACAAGCAATTCAGCAGCAGTTGGGTTCAAAATAAGCTCTTAACAAAGATGTGTGGACTATTTGGATACTACTTTTCCCGGTAGTTGGATTGGCGATCGAGGTCCTACAGAATGGCCAGCCCACTCGCCAGATTTGACACCTTTGGACTTTCATGTGGGGATATTTCAAGCAAAAGGCGTACGAAATTGTACCTGCTTCAATATTGAATATACGGCAAAGAATGATAAATATTTGTAGAAATATTGACGTTACTGTGTTCGAAAATGTTCGGCGTGAAATATCGAATAGGCTGTTCATAAGTCAAGAAGTTCATTATCTTAAATTTAAATTTTTTGAGTTGACCTGTTCAAAAAATAAAAAGGGGGGACATTGAAGAAATGCACTGTATCTTATGTTTATTATTTTATGTTTACTTTCTTTGTGAAACTTTATGCACATATTATTCAATTACTTTTCTGTATATTTTATTTGATAATGTTTTTTCTCTATAATTTACTGTTACTGTTTTATGTTCAGTTATGCTGTTCATCTACATGCTGTACCACCGACTTGCTACTAATGTACCTTTATATACCGTAGTGAAATAAATATCTATCTATCTATCTGTTTCTCTCCACTTTCTTCTGCGAATTGCAAAATCAATTTTTCCCCAGATGAAGGGTCGTAACTTTCTCCATGTGATGGTTTGCGAATATCTGTTCGTGAATCACTGAAAAGAAGGGATTTTTCGACACCCAATAAATTATTAGATTAGATTTTTTATTGGTCAAGTAGTGAGCAGTACACCTCAGTGCTATGACATGTCAATAATGTATAAAATATATGTAAATTACAAATAAAATTACCGAAAAGGAGTAGGTAGTACATAAAAATTGTATATGATACAAGTACAAAAAACGTATTCTCTGAGAGATGTTTTTTCAGTTTCCCTTTGAAATTAACGAGGGTGGCATTTTTCATTGATTGGGGCAGTGCATTGTATAACGATATGTATGAGTTACATCTCCTTGTTATTTCTAGTCTTTGGTTTGGTGCTCTAATATTATCCTTGATCCTAGTATTATAAGAATGGTTGTCACCGTTTGTAGTAAACTTTTGAAATTTTTATGAATGTGTATCAAATTGCAGTATATTACACATAATGGCAGAGTTGATATATTGAACTTAATAAACCAATTCTCACAGCTCTCCATTTGTCATCCTCACTGTCATCCTCACTGGTATACACCGATGTTTCGCCTTAAGACACTTGCCCTAAGGCTCTTCAGTGCTAAATTGGACAGCATTATAGAAAATACACACAATTCATACATGAATTACGATTTTTAATGTCACGGAATAAGCTTGATGACATCGTAATGATTGTCTTTTGAATTTTAAATATTCTCGAGATATGAACAGATGTGCCCCAGTTTATCAATCCATAAATTAAGGAACTATGAAACATTGCATGACAAGCGGTATGGGCAGCTTCATTACCGACTTTATTTTTTATCTGTCTGATTGCATAGACTTTGCACGATAGATTTTTTTCTAGTTTGTCAATATGGGGTTTCCAAGTTAACTTTGAATCAATGGTTATACCAAGACATTTCACATTATTTGAGAGATTATGAGCCAGCGAGAACATAACTGTTTGTGCCTTGCTTTTATTCACACATAGGCTATTAAACCAGTCCGTAGCTTCCTGAATAACTTGCTTTTCTAATTCTGATGACTCTTCAATATTTTTTTCCGAATGGCGAAGTAATCACATGGGTGGAATTACCCCAGAGAGTAATGCCATAGCTAATGTGCGAGTGAAACAGTGAAAACTACGTAGTTTTAAGAGTTGTAAAATTAGTTATTGTTTTCAATTGTCGTAAAACGAATAAGGAACTAGATAGTTTTTCAACTAATTGATCAATATGTGTCTGCCAGTTTAGTCTGTGGTCCAGCACTAATCCAAGCAGTTTTACGCTTTTTGTTTCTTGATTAACAGTTGAATGATTATTTGCTGATATTTGCATTATTTGTGTTTTATTACTATTTAAAAATTCTGAGGCAAAATCAACTCCGATTTGATGTCAGGGGGGTTATAAAAAATAGTATTAGTAAGTATAATTATAACCAAAACTATATATTAACTTTGAAGGTTCAGAACGAGTAGCTGAAAAATCAAATAAGAAATGAAACAATTGAAAATGGCAAGAAAAAACATTTTCAACTACAAATAAAAAGTGATGTATTAAAATTTCGAAATGATGGATGATGCTGATTTGGAAATTTCGCACAGATGCACAGTTAATTTCCACATCAAAGAGAAAGAGTTCATCCGAGATATTGACCATCAAGGTAGCAGGAATCTAGGCGAAAAGAAATTCATAAACTTATATTTTGATGGAAAAAAGTGAAAAATAACAGGAAAATATGGCTGGAAGGCCAGTAAAGTCAATAATTTTTGAAACTTTGATTTTCCCAAGAAATAGAAAANATGAGAAGCAGCGCCCTTTTGCCGATTTAGAAAATAGTGAATGGATGTGGAAGTTAGCCTTACCAGCACGTACTTTATCAACAACAAAGAAGTCTACTGTCAACGGCCCCAGGGCTGCCAACATCATAGATATCTGATAATTGATACCGGTAAGGACACCGGAATGGTTCGGCGAAAGATCTAAAGAATTAACAACAGCCCCACTATAGTTAGCACTGACGAATCCGAGTGCTACGATCAACAAAGCAACACATTTTCCTCCTTCACCTGCTCTACTATTTCCAAGCAAAATCAAAGCTACACACGGAATCATTGAACCTGAAACAAAAAAAAGCGAAATTTCGTGGGCACTACAAGCATAACCTGAATATTTTATTATGTTGTGTGCTAAATATATCAGGAAGAAATGAATTATTTATTGAAGTTATATTTCTTTTGATGCGTTAGGGAAAAATTATGATAGTAAATTTTTACGACGCCTGCGCACACCGTCACGAAACAGTGACATCCTGAAGTTATCTTATTCTTCAATTTGTTCCGTGTTAGGACTAAAATGATGCCTTTATACGCACATGACACATCTATAGCTGAAGAAGCTCAAACACTAGAGGAACTCCAATGGAAACTGAATGCTGTTGTAGACCTTTTCATAGCCTGGTGAAATTCCAACAAAATTATTGTGAATGCAAGCAAATCAGTATTGATTCAGTAAGAAGGTCACAAAACATTATTTTAATCTTTTTGTTAAAGATGAGTCTATCAACCCATCAGAATGTACATAATTTTTGGGAACTTGGGTCGATCATAATCTCAACTGGAAGAAACATCAAAGAATGTAAATTTTCAAGGCCGGAGATAACTATGTGAAAGCTACTTTCCGGATTGTTTTGCCGTGGAGAAACACATTGATTATACGTGTAAAAAGACCTTAACAACTTTTTTAAGCTATGCTTCAACTCAAAGAAACTCTAGATAAGATCATACATTCATTTTCTATGAGATTTCTGATCTTTTGTCACGTTTTTACACAACACACTAATGTTAATGAAAAAAACACATGTCGGCCACATTCAAATTGGTGAAATTCAATTTTGGGATTCTATATCAAAACTGATTCGTTGTTGAACTGTCACATTATTGAACTTACTCAGAACTGTCATGATCTTCCTGGTTTTTCCAATGCTACAAATATTTTTGGTAATCAATAAATTCGCTACGTAAATGAAAATGTAAGATGATAACCATTTAGCGAATGAGGGTAAGGAACTCAAAACACCATTCTGGAACAAAAGCAAAGATTGCGTTCAATTAATAATCAAATAAGAGATCCTAATGAAGTATTACAATATATTAAAAACTGAAAACTCATCAGCCATGACCCTTTTATGCAATTGTTTCTATTCGCGTTGCGCGTCCGAAACGAAGCATTTCCGGACACAAGTTCATATAGACTTTTTTTCTTAAAATACGTCACTTGAATATTTTAACGTACTTAAGTTACACCCTGTATAGTTGAATACTGAAATTACATGCTGCTGTTGAGCAATAGCAGAAAAACTCCAAAGGATTCAAATTCATACATCAGTATAACTTGGCAAATTCAGTTGCGCCCCTGAAATCTGTAACATCTCACATTCATCAAATTCCTGATAAATACTTCATGGCGTACTGTAAATTTTATATTTTTAAACGAAAGAGGAGGAGAAATGGATAAATTATCGAGATTTTCTCTCCGCAGACTCTATTCTTGCTGTGCTTGCTCAGGGCACATGATTCTCGGACCCAATGATCACTTACCCCACGGTGTGGGGAGTGGTCGTTGGTTGATAATGCTGGCGCGCCCTCCCGAATGTATCGGGGCTTCGGGGGATAGGGCCTGACCAGCGCAAACTACGATTATAAATTTCAGTACATTATTGAAGTAAGCAGAGTTTGGTAAAATAAACGTAGGAAACCTCAAAAAGCTCGAGAAAGCATGTCTTTGAGGAGTTTCAACTAGAGTAGAACACAGTTTTCATACAATAAAAGATGAAACATAAAAAAATAAACCAAAACTTAACAAAAAAGTAACAGATCATTAACGTCTACAAAAGTCGGGTCGTGGGTCCAAAAGAAAGAAAACTCAAATGTGCTGCTACATTCCCTCTTGTTCATAAAAGAGGACATATGCCTCCTCACTCACTAGTGATTTTGGCGAAATTGGGAACAAGTGTGAATCGTTGTATTTATGTCACGTGCCACTATATGAGTGTCTGCAATATGCTGTAACGCCCGTTGTACGTAGACCCACGGTGTTTTGAAAGTGCATATAGATTATAATGACAAGGAGCCACATTGTCTGCTGCATAACTGCTCATATCTAATCCATCTGAAGAAAAGTCGATAGAATCTTCCCGTTGGAGAGAATCTTTTCAAATGAATTACTAAAATACGAGGAAACATATAGATTGATAAAGACTTTGTACAGTTACTTAAAGTGAGAATCTCTGGAAGGGAGATTGACTGGCAAGCGCGGGTAAAGTACCTCGGCCTTTTGATAGACCGCAGACTCACTTGGAACCCGCACATCATGTGCGTTAAATCTAAGATCGAGGGTCGGATAGCCAGTCTGTACCCTCTGATCAATAGAAAGTGTAAGCTTAAAGAACAAAATCACGATCTACAACACGATGTTCAAGTCTGTCATCATGTACGCTTCAGGCGTCTGGGGACAAGCGGCTCCGACTAACATTTCCATTTTGGAAACATTTCCATTTTGTCAGTCCATTCCTCGACTGAATGGACTGCCTTCCATTCGGCAGTCCATTCAGTCAAGGAATGAGAGAGTTTTCGGAAGCTCATGAAAACCCGCTAGTTAGGGAAGCCACAGATTATGCTGTAGACGACCCCTTCCGATACAGAAGGCCCCGACACTCTGTCGAATGAGGCCCTCATGTCCCCCGTTAAAGGATGAATAACTTTTCCATCCATCCCACCCCAGCCAGGTAGGGGTATCCCGCGAAGGGCGGCACTGATGTCTAAGGACTTCATGCCGTCAACCACTCAGTCATGTACCTATTGGTCCTTCTTGAGACCAACATCAGCCTAAAAGGTAAGGGAGCTGGTCTCCAATCCTGGATGAACCCAAGATGATCGTCAGTGTGTACAGTTACTTCTTTGCTTGCACCTCGAACACATTGGTTTTTCATCTCCATCCAGAGTTTCCTCTCTTGTGAAAGAATCCAAGCAATGGACAAACCCAATTGGCCAGTTCCTTGTGGTATGGAAAGAGATAAATCCCAGAAAGGATCAAAGGTTACTGATAGTGTCCACAGTGTGTGCACTTCATAGTGGATTTTATCTGACCAACGGAATAGTCTACAATCTTGTTCAAATTCAAGTATCTCAGCTAGGACTCTTGTGCTTTTCTGCTGTCGCTAAATTTTTCAGCTTAACATTTGCAATGATTTCAAAAGGGAACCTCAAAAAAGCTCATGAAATCTTGTCTTTGAGGAGTTTCAACCCAATATTTAGAATAATTTCAAACTTTCAATTACTGGGTAAAGAGTCAATGAGCAAGCATTATGGATAGAAAGAAGGAATTACTAACCCAATGAATGTTGGATTTTGAGAAAGACTTTTGCAACTTTCAGTACTTACCGATTTTATGTTGATTTTCATTGTGTAATTCAGGTAAGCTGGAATTTGTGAAACTAATGTGAAATAACCCCAGATAAATGATAATTCTGCTAGTACGAGTGCCCAAAAACATGATGAGGTAAAAATTTTAATCCAAGGGGTGGATAAATTCTGTAAAATATTGAAAAATTATATTATAAAACGGTATGTTACTTACATGACATCATAATAACTGCAACTGATAGAAAAGAGTACATCTACAAATTCTGAAACGGATTCTATAGCGGAATGTGACCACTACAAACCAAACACTCAGTATTGCAAACACCCTTGGCTCTTTCTGAATACAAAATTTATAAAATAGGACTTCATACTATAGAAGAAGGACTACATACGATTCGAAATGTTCCTTCACCTTGCAATACCACAGAACTTCGATCATCTTTAGGTTCTATCTTATGGATGCTTCAAGTTTCAAGTTTTTTTTTCAAGTTTTATTCAAGTATTGCATCTACAAAAAAATATTACAATACGTTTATAAAATGGGGTTAGATTTGCTCTCTGAGTAAAACATACCTAGGCATAATTGCCTCCTTTTATATAGGGCTCCTCAACGAATTATGGAATATCATTGACTTAAGGTCGATGATGGCCACTATCTTGCACTGATGAGTGGCTAATAAGCAGCAAACCGGTCTGTATATGTGCCCGTTCCAAAATTGAAGGTCCACTGACTAATAAGAAATTTTCTGATATTGTATCCAGCCATAATTTTTCTTATCTTTTCAAACAACCTTGGGGATAATAGCCAACAGAGCACTGATTGTAATGGCTTCTCTCTGCTTACAGAACTACTACCATATTCTGGATAATGCTTCTTCTTCTAGATTCCTGGATAAACCATTCTGTTCTTCAACGAACCAAACTCTGGGCCTTTTTTGGGCTCCCTCGTTAGCTAACATTTAGATAGACAACGTTGCAAAACCAAGCTAACAGATATGAATAAAAACTCCAAAAATTACTTTTATTTGATACCATATGAATGAAAGTTGAAACTGAGAGCTCGTTCGAAGTGTGTATTGCCATGCATCATGCAAAAACACACCAAGATAGGAATGGGTAATAACGAAACATTTTTAACCCTTCAACATAAAATCAAGTGGTTGAAAGCGCAAGTCATCTACAGGGAGGTGCACTAGTTCAAAATCAAGTTTAAAGATGCTACGTATGACCTATATTCGCATTTTATCGTGGACTTGAATATCACAAATGGAAATACAGCCACCTTCACGGTGACAACAGTAAAATGGGCCGGATTATTTTTCTGAGTTTTCACCAATTCAGTTTGACATTGTACCACTCCTTATTTTGTGTTTCTGTTCATCAATGAAAACTAAACTATAACATACCACGACTCAGCTCTGAAGCTTCTGGAAGATTTTCATCATTACCAAAAGATTCATCTCCATTTGCATTGGTGGGAATTGCCTTGTATGGCGATGCTTGTGCCATTTTACTGAAACACAAAACAAATTTAATTTTTTTGGTCTATTTCCATATGTGAATAAATTGAAATTGAAATTGAATTGAAAATCATACTAAATACCCAATTACCTTGTTATCGGTAGAAAACGAATATGTTTCAATGAATGTTTTTTCCTGCATACTGATTGTTGGATGATCGGCGGGACAATTACTGCCGATGAAACAGAAAATAATGGCCCATACTAGTCCTGAACCATTAAACACATAGAATACCATGGGCCAACCATACGAACTTCCCGCGATATAACCACTCAACAACATAGAAATCACAGTTCCGATTGCCGAACCTGAAGATAAACAATTTTTGATAAGTCACACATTCGGAATATTCGGGGTACTTCACGGTTCCAATCTAGGTAATCTATTGTTTCATCCATTCATACAATAATCTGATTGTTGACCATAGCAGTGGAAATTTAATATTTGTTGGCTAGCATGGCTCATACGATGTTCCCAGATACGATTCCTAAATGTTCTGCCGGTTTGACCAATATATTCCACAATTTGATTTATATACTTCTGATTTATCATATTTTTAAACTAACTTTCGCAATGTATTATCTGTTCGATATGCAATTTTAATATCTTGTTTATCCAAAAATGAGACCACTTTTTCTGTTGTTTGTCAAAAATATGCTGTTGCATAGACTTTTTTTGAAATGTAATATGTCTATTGATTTAGCTTTGAATCCGTTGTTTACTGCAATTTGTTGAACGATATTGAGTTCTTTATCAAAATTATCTACTGAAAGAGGAACACTGACAAATCTACAGTGTGTAACAACGAAAACTTAACAGAGCCGGTTTTGAATATAAAAAGTAAGATTTTAAAAAAAGCTCGGACACGTCGATTTTTAATTAAAGGGGGACACCTTTCAGACTAATCAGATTTTTTGCAGTACGCACCCCCTCGGAGGTGCAATATATGTGTAATATAGGTCCCAAAACACTCCCCTGAGGTACCCCGAAAATGACATCGCGAGATGATGATACTGAATCCTTTATTTTGGTTACCTGTTTGCGTTGTAATAAATAATCAGTCAGCCATAACAAAACAGTTTCCCTGATACCAATACTTTACAGTTTATTTAGTAATATGTGGCGATCGATTGTCCCAAAAGCTCTTTTAGGATCTAAAAATACGGCTATGATATAATGCCCCTTATCTATTGATTCTTTCCATTTTGATATTGTGACTTGTAATGCAGACTAACATGAATGATGTTTTCTGAAACCTGACTGATGTTTTAGTAAAATATCATTATTTTCTAGATATTCAATGAGTTGATTATAAAATGCGAATTCTAATATTTTTTCAATACAAGGCAGAGTGTTGATTGGTCTAAATTCCCAGGATTTATTTGTGTTACGGACTTTCTGCATTGGCACAAGGACACTGGTCTTGAACTCCTTCGGGAATCTGCCAGTGCTCAAAGATGTATTTATAAAATGCAACAATGCATGACCTGTAACACCAAACGTTTTTTTTTAATAAGTTTGCAATTGAATATTCCACTGCTGTATTTCATTTCCAATCCGTTGATCAATTTAGACAGATCTGCTAACTCCAACACTTTGAATTTCTCGAAGGAGTTGTTAATCAATATAACATTGTTCTCATGAAGTGAATCAGATTGATCAATAGTGTTCACAATTTTTTTCAATAAAATAATTGTTAAATGATTCTGCAATATCTAGATTATTTTTATGAATGACTGACTGACCGTTTATTTTGAAATAAATACCATCAGTAAACGTATTGCTATTCGTTTTTAGACTTATAAGCTGTCTGAATGTTTTCCACATGATCCTCGGATTTGACCTATTTTGATCAATTTTATCATAATAGTTTGAATTGAAGGGGTTATATTTTTAGGAGTGATTAATTCTTGGGAAAGAAAGTTTTTGGCTTTCTACTACTCCATCTTGATACACAAAACAAGGATGAGGGAATCTTCCAAGGAAAGGAAGGAAGTAATCAATTCTAAATTAAGTAACTCTATACATGGATGTGTAGAAAGTTACTTCTTTGCATGATCTATACATCCATGTATAGAGTTACTCAATTCAGAATTGATTACTTCCTTCCTTTCCTTGGAAGACTCCCTCATCCTTGTTTTTTGTATCAAGATGGAATAGTAGAAAGCCAAAAACTTTCTTTCTCATCATAATAGAGTATTTTTTCTTTGAGTAGACTATTTGACTTCAAAGTGTATGATCTTTCTGGTGCAATTGAGTCAACAACTGACTCACACTGACTTTTGAAGTCTTCATAAATATATATCTACATCAACACAGCTCAACAAAGTTACATGATATCAAACTCAAGTTAATCCTGTCCATATTACAATCATTGAGGTTTCTGTATGTTTTTGTGATATTTTGTGCTACATATATATTGCAATTACTCAAATTGACTTTTGTTAATAAATGATCAGTTAACTTTGGGGGATCATGAACGACAGTATTAACATCAAAATTTGTTAGTACATAGTCATCAATGGTGTTGCTATATTGAGCACACCTGATTATTTGAGTTCCAGTTTGTTCAATTCCAAGCATGTTCAACATATTTTTCATTTTTGTGCAATAATATTCATTACTGATATGTCAATCACTAGCAACGCTGCTTTTTGCTGTAGTTGTTGTAGTTATCTAATGTCTGTCATTTTCAGTTTAAATAAAAGTCTTCACAACACATTTTTCATTGACTGAAATCATTTACACATTACCTGTGAATACATGAGAACTCATTCTACTTCTTTCACTGATAGGTAACCATTTACCCAACAGAGTGTATGTTGCAGTTGGCATCACTGCATGAAAACATCCTTGGAGAAATCTACAAACTATGACACCTACGTCGCCAGTCAGAGATGCAGTGGTGGGAATCATCAATCCCAATAGTGAAGACATCATCATTGCCCCAACCATGAACCATTTGGGTCCATAAGTTGTGACGATCCATCCAGCCGCTATTTGGGGTAATGTGTATCCCCATAGGTACATCGAAATAATCATATTCTGGTTTGTCCACTCGTAGGTCTGGGAAAAAATAAAGTATTCTGCATTTATTGATACTAATGAGCCGTTTCATTGTTATATTGTATAATTGTTTTTCATTTGTTAGATTGTTCTAAAAGTTTTGTCCGTTTGAATGTCATGTGTCGTATATTGACTAGCAAAGCGCCCTGGCTCCGCATGGGTGCAATGCCGACACTAAACATAAATTCATCCTCCGGAAATTTATGAACATAGAGGAACAGAGATGAAAAGTTGACTTCCTTTTATGAACGAGCGTTTTTCCTTTGCGGTTGGCGCCTCACTTGAAATATACGAAAATCCTCTCTTTTTATACATCTACAACATAAACAGAACCTACATACAAAATGTCAGCCTCCGAAAATATGGCGGTGTGGAGAATCAGTGAGGAAAAGGTAATTTTCAACGCAACTAGTGTTGCGTTGACTGAGATATCACAGTTTGAAGTAGAGTCATGGAAACGGGCAAAACTTTTTAAACAAATCAATGCTTTTGAAGTAGTAATAAGTAAATTAAATTCCAATGAACAACACGGACATGATTCTTGGATTTTCATGACAAAAAACTGTCGTATATTTTTTTAATAATTTTATTTATTGTCCCTTCTACTGCGATAGCATGTGGAATTCCATATTCTCTTCGCTGGTTTTCTAACGCTGGCAAGATGTATTTATCTGTGAAGTTGCCTAGATGCACGTCAGAAATGGGTCTTTCACAATCTTGCTATCGTTACTTGATGTTTTCTCATCGGAGATTGATTTTTCTAAAGAAGTGCCAATTCTTACTGTACTACACGATGTTCGCTACACGAGTTCCTCGATGGTAATGAGCTCTCGTCCCACTCCGCCGGCTGATCTACTGCGCATCTAATATTCAGAATTACAGCTAGATTTGACAAACTGTTGTTTCTGCTTGAAATGTCGAGGTGACAGAAAATTGCTTATCAAAAATATCAAACCAAAATCTTCGTGCCTGAATAAAATAATTTTTTACCATATATCGATATTTTGATCCACCAAACAACATTGATAAGTGTACTGTTGAATTAAATTCGTAGTTTCAAAACTTTATAATTATTATCCTGGATAGTATTATTAATTTTCATTAAGTGACGGGTATTCAAAAAGCTGAAGAAAGTGTGTTTCTCCTATGAAAGTAAGATATACGAGTATTAAAATTGAACTTACTGGAATTTGTTTGTTGGGATTCGCGTTTGGATCGGTCATGGCCACTAAACATATTGCCATACTGTGCTTAACAGCGTTATAAATGACAACTTCAAAGAACATCATCAGTAACTGTTGATGTCTTTTGCCAAAAGTTGGACCTACAAAATAAAAAGTATTAAATAATACCAATGAATCATAATCAATTTCGTAAACTGCTGGTTTCTCTACATTCTTTCAATATTAATGTCACATTCAATAATTTTCTACTTTTAATGTTTGTTTCATTGTTATATGTGATGGAAAACTGAATTATTCAGAGTTTCTACCAGATCTTAGGAATACTAGAGACTCAAGAAGGTACTGAATATGTATCTGTATCTGTAGAGTAGGGAGGGTGACTGTTGCTACTAATCGGCTGTGATAAGAAGCGTTATCCATTACTGTTACCCAATTTGGTTCGACTCGTGAAAGAAGGGATGCAAACCATCCTTCAAAGCGTTGGGCGTCCATGTCTTCGTGATAATCTCCCGTTTTTTTTTGGATAAAAAAAGCCACTCTCGCTACCTGTATGGGCGACAATTAGTCGTTGCCCTTTACCCGGTGGTCCGCGTAACCCTCTTGATAAACCGTCCACAAATGCTTGACGATAACTAGTTACAGTAGTGTCTTGCCAGATCTTAGATACTGTTTCGTCCACGTTTCGTCTTTTTGTCAGCAGAACGCATTTCCCTAATAGAGCGAAGATATCTCCGTCGCCATGAGATTATATCTTCTTTTTCTATTAAGACAGATTTACGGGATCGTTTTGCGTATAGTACAGTGTGTAACAACGAAAACTTAACAGAGCCGTTTTTGAATATAAAAAGTGAGATTTAAAAAACAGCTCGGACACGTCGATTTTTAATTAAAGGCGGACACCTTTCAGACTAATCAGATTTTTTGTAGTACGCACCCCCTCGGAGGGGTGCGTCCGACGACCCTTATTTAGATAGGGAAAGTAGGTCGAGTGGCACCTTGTTTTAACGGTCTTTCGAATACCTTTACATCTCTGTTTAAAGAAAATTTTNAAAAAATTTTCTTTTAACAGAGTTGTAAAGGTATTCGAAAAATCTTCAAAAAAAGGTGCCACTCGACCTACTTTCCCTATCTAAATAAGGGTCGTCGGACGCACCCCTCCGAGGGGGTGCCCAGCAAACACAGTTTTGTGAAATTAAGATGAATGTTACATAATCAACAATACGTGTTATCTAACTTTGTTATGTAAAACTCACATCCCTGTTATGGCGAAATGTCCGCCATAAATACAACCTGATTTTTACATAAGAATAATGCCATTATTTTACATATATTTTATATAATTTCAGTAAGTAAATATAAACAAAGATAACACTCGCTCGCAGAAAAACTCGGAATTATTAACTGGAATAAACATCCTTCAAACCAAAATTTCCTGACCAAACTCTGCCTCCACACTTTGTTTTGTAAAAAATTCTCATCAACAAAAACATAAATATCAACGCATCACGTGATAAGAATGTCTCGAAAACTCTAGCCTCTCCCACAGAACTTCACACAGACCAACATATAACTCGAAAACTCAGAGAGACTCTTGTCTGTCAAAAAGTTAAGTACGTCTGGATGTTACCAACTTACACAACGAACGTAATATTGAAGTAACAACTTCACGTGTGAGTTAAGTGAAACATAATATACCATATTGACGTAAGTTTTTACATATTAGCTACGACATATTTACATAAAATATTTATGTAAATATGGGGTTGAAGTATTTTAGAAAGGTAATGAAGTATTTACGTAAATGTATTACATAAACATGTTCCGTTAATTTTATGTCATATTTACGTAAATGTAACAAGTGTGTTTGCTGGGTGCGTACTACAAAAAATCTGATTAGTCTGAAAGGTGTCCCCCTTTAATTAAAAATCGACATGTCCAAGCTTTTTTTAAAAATCTTACTTTTTATATTCAAAAACGGCTCTGTTAAGTTTTNTTATAAAATCTATTTAATAAATACAAAACAAAGTCACCTTCACAAGAAACAGAACACACTACGCCTATGCAGATAAGGACGCTTGATAATGACAAAACCAAATGACTAGTTATGGCATTTTAGGGACGCAAATATAATAGACCTGCAAAGTGTTGATCAGTTTATCGATGTTTCAAAGTATTTAATGAATTGGTTCACCTATTCGTTCGTACATCCTATCGATATGCAAAAGCTATCTTGTTACGGGGGTCAAATTTTATGGAATCATTTTACTTTTCAATTATTTACAATGGCGATGCATAGACAATGAAAATGACTCCGGTAAGAATTTAATTCTAACATTTAACAATGTTGCCTTCAGCTCTCAGTTCAATTTGTATATGAGTTACCTTCAATTGAAAATTGTTATACAACTTCTTTAAATTTTATCCGATATATGCAATTTTTGGAGCCATTTTTTTCTATGGCTTGGTTTTTGTGAAGCTGCTGTAGATGTGTGAAGGCATCTGAAGCAATTTCTGAGTTCATTTCTTTAGATTTGTTTACTGCCTATCTTCAATCACAACCCACTGACTAATAAGAAAGTTTTTCTTCCTTATAAAGAGGAATCGGGCAAATAGGTCTTTTCATCACCATTTTTTTGTGCGCATGCGTCAGTATCAGCTATCTTTTCCGTACTGTTTTTTGTAAACAACCATGTTAAAGAGCCCGCAACTCATGTTTTAAAAATTAAAATATAAATTGAAGTTTATTAATTGTAAAAAAAGTGAAATAAAAGTACTAAGTCGAAATTATCAGAAAAAAAATTTATACTCCATTATAATTATGTTATCTGTACAAAAAGGAACAACAAAACGGTGTTGTTATGGAGTATGTAAAAGTGATACACGATACAAATCATTCAAAACCAACACATACTACCTATTTTATACATTTTCCAAAGCCTCATCTTGAATATCGCAAAAAAATATTCAAATCATCAAGCAAATTACATGATAAATCATGTGCATTATTGCATTTTTGACTGTATATATGACTGAATATATTGGCATGGGGTCGAGCAAGAGAATTCTTGAGAGTGTTTGTTTCCCAAAAGCGTTTAGTAAGACTGATTTTTAACTTGACTTATCAAGACAGTTGTCGATCTATCTTTAAAGAAAATAAAATTCTTACGGTGCCTGCTGTGCACATTTTTCGATGTATTATCTTTGCCAAACAGAATATAGATAATTATCCGTGTAATACTGAGAAACATGAATATAACACCAGACACGGCACCTTATTGAAAATTCCTACACATAGAACGACATTCTATGAGAGGTCTCCGGATTATAATGCAATCATATATTACAATAAACTAGCAGAATCACTCAAACGGACTGGAAGTAACATCATATTTCAAAAGAAAGTTAAAGACTTGCTATTAGAGAAATGCTACTATAGTTTCCAAGAATTTATTCTTCAATTTATCACAACTGTTATAATACGCAGTTGTACAATGAAGACTCAGCAAAAATAAAATGGGAAAAGTGCACCTGGTCTGAATGTTATGATGTTGAATTTGGAGTTCCGCAAGGTTCGAGTCTGAGACCACTGATTTTTTTTCAATCAATGACTCCCCTGCACGTGTTAGGACTAAAATGATGATTTTATACGTACATGACACATCTACAGTGTGTCTCACTTCTCATGGAAACACCCCCGTATCTTCCGTAATATTCGTAATATTCGGATTTTTCAGGACTGAATTTTTTTCAGGAAAAAAGTGTAATCGTAGTAAGTTGGTAGTCCAGATCACGAATCTGAAGGAATTTTGAGCCTATTTTGATTTTGTGTCATGGCTGCAAGATTGAGCGTAAGAGAGAAAATTGAAATTGTACGCCTTTCGGGAGATGACGTTAGACGTGCTAGAGAGGTTTGTAAGCAATTCGGTTTTAGATCAGAACACACGACAGGGCTACAAGTCCTGAAGGTAGTAGACTTCGCGACCAAAGGCTTCAACCTCGGCAAAGGATACGACACCGGAGCTATATTCTTAGACGTCTCCAAGGCGTTCGACAGAGTTTGGCATGACGGACTACTGCCCAAGATGAGCGATTTTGGATACACAAAACCAATGGTAAGATTAATTCAGTCTTTGCTAGCTGACAGGCGATGCCGTTGCAAAGTATGAGACCGCAAGGAGCAGTCCTTTCGCCACACCTCTTCTCCGTATACACAGCGGACGTGCCCAAGCCAGAGAACAAGTTAGCGCTCTATGCGGACGACACGGCCCTGCTGGCGAGATCCACGAGCCAAGCGCATGTAACGAGGTACTTGCAGCAACAGGCAAACAGATTAGAGGAGTGGGCCAACCTGTGGAAGATCAGTATAAACCCTGACAAGAGTCAGGCGATACTGACCAACAACGACATACCTGGGGGTCATCTCAGACAGGAAATTAACATTTTAGTCTCACGTACGGCTAGAAACGCCAGACAACGCCTGGCACCTATCATAGGACGCAGAAGCAACATGGGGTTGAAATTGAAGTTGCTGATGATCAAAACCGTTCTCATGCCCATAATACTGTATGCCTGCACTGCCTGGGGCCAGTGCGCACAGACATACAGGAAGAAGTTACAGTCGTTTATGAACGCGAGCCTAAGGGCCGTCGTAAACGCACCGTACTACATTCCCAATAGATTTATATACAGAGACCTAGACCTGGACGCACAACAACTCAGTGCTACGCGATCTACATTATGGGGATGACCCCAGATTCCGAGAAAAGGATAAACACTCAAGGCCAACCAAGCAAAACCAACGACCACCCCACGAGTCGCCGTCAGGCGGCTCAGGTAAGCATATCACTAATCAGACAAACTCATTTTTAGGTAGGTTCAACGCAAAACAATTCGACCGCGATTCACTTTTCCTTAGATTCACTGAGGAACGCTCGACGCTAATAACAAAAGCCGCCGGTTATTTTTTGGGGGCCCCCATGCAAAAATTCAGTTATGAATAGTCACGAGCAAACATTTTAACCGATCGCGAAAGAATAGCACCTAAAGGCTGACTTTCGACCAAAAGAGGTCAGATGTCAATCTTGCTGAAGTGCCCATCAGTAAGTTGAGGACCGCTCGGAAAGCGGGGGTGGATGGATTG